GATTGTTTTTACTTTCTGCATGTTATTGGTTAAAAACTTATCTACTCATAGATGATTATCTGTTTTGTCAACAATCACCCAAAAGGAGGGGGATTGTTGGTGCAATTCTTTCCCCTTGTGTTTTGGAGATTGTTGTCAGAAATGATGAGGGTGTTTGCTAGTGCACACACAGAGAGAGAAATAGTCCATGGTGTTGGAGATATGCCCTAGAGGCAATCATGTATGATGATATTTCCTATGTGTTTATGAATAAAGATAGTCCTTGGACATTATCAATGATGTGTATCAGCAAGTATGTGACTTGTTTGTGGGACTATGGATTGTATGATGACTGTCCTAAAAGGTCCCTAGTCGAAAGGGTTGTGTGGACGCACAGCCAACTAGACTAGCATATGACACAGTCGATGGCTTGGTCTCACTAGCCATGGGGCATTGGATGCTAACTGGATAATATGGACTTGGAAGGATCTGGTCGGATTCGACGTAGTCAGATCCGAGTCGAGATAAGGTCCAAGTCGGACAGACCCAACTATGAGACGCAGCGATATGTCATCTATGAGTCTCTAGTACAACATATGTTCTATGTCCTAAGACCTGAGCTGACACATGTACTCGGGATGGTGACAGACTTGCTTTGGGCCGACCAAACGCTACTCCATAACTGGGTAGTTATAAAGGTAGGTTTCGGGTTTATCCAGAACCATGCTGCGAGACGTGGTCGAGCAAGATGGGATTTGCCCCTCCGATCAGGAGAGATATACTCTTGGCCCCTCGTGTGATCCGACCAGGATAAGCATGGCCATGCAACAAGGATTATGAGATTCCGGTTTGTGGTTGGCATCACTGGAACGAGAAAGAGGTCGGGCTAGCACAAGGATGACAGACTCGCCTTGAGCTCGACAACATATATCGTGTGGCAAAAGGAATGGAAGTGTGATGTACATGTTCACTAACCAGCTTCATAGTCTGCTTGGTGTTCGGCATGCCTTGCTAGAGGCCGCTACCAATCTTGCAGTTCGGAAGTGATCCGAACTGCGACCAAGCCGACTTGAACCTAAGGGGTCGCGCGCTTAAGGGAAGGAACCTACGAGGTCGGATCCGAGGACACTGGTCGGATGTGATCCAAACTGTATTCGGATTGTGGCCGAGTAGACTTATGGGCTTTAGGGTCCGTGCGATGCCCAAGTGTTGAGCCCGTGACGGACGCCTATATATATAGTGGAGGTGCCACACACTCACGCGGCTGATCGCTTCGGCGCTGTCACTAGGGTTTGCATGTGTTGCGAATAGACACCTCCACTCGCCGCCGGTTGTGTGATCGGACCTAGTAGTCCGCCACACGACGTTCCTCCTGCACGCACGGATACCGTTAGAGGCGGTGCACTTGCGCCGCTCCGACGAACCCGTACGTGGGAACCGACCACCGGTTGTATGAGGGAGATCGGAGGATGAGGAGGAGACGATCCACGCGGACGCGCTGCCCCAACTCTTCTTCCGCTACACGACACTGCGCGTCTAGTGGTAACGAACCGTGATCCATCTCCAGTAGCATGTTCTTGGTTGTTCTGCGCGTAGGAAATTTTAATTTGCAGTCGACGCACCCTACCGTTGATCCCAACACATGGAGTGTCGAGAAGATTGCTATAAACTTCAGAAAAATTCTTCCGCGAAGAAGAGAAGATTAATAGATTTTGAGGAGTTCAATATCGAGAAGATTGCATGTCAGAGATGGCCCCTAAAAAGATTGTTGACATCAAGCAATTGGTACGTAAGGTGTTTGAGAAGAAATGAGTGCAGTAGAGAAGAATGAGGACAAAGTGAAGACGTAGCATTTGTTTCGTCATTTCATTTTCTTCCTTGAGTCATATGACTACCGTACTATTATGAGGGGTATAAGTATTTTGAGACTTTTGTCTGTTGTTGTGATGCTTAACTGTAACCTATCCTATAAGAGTTGAGATAAATCTCTTCTTGCTTCAAAACATTTACTCGCCAGCTAGAAACGATGTTCATCTGAGTTGCAAGAGAAATGCTTCAGCAGAGGAGTCAGCTTTACTTGTTCCTCGAGTAAAGTTACCGGGTGTGTTTGAAATCCGATCGATGAAAATGTGTCGGTTGGCCATTGGCTGAACCGCGTGTCCTTATTGGTCATTTCCCCTTTGGGATTGCCATGGCTATAAATTGTCACCCCACACCAATGTTGTTCGTTGGTTGGTCCACTTTAGATTTTGAGAAAATTGATTGAGTACCCTCTGTGAGAGATTTGAGTTAAATCCACCGAGAGAAAACCAAGAACCGAAACTTAGAGAGTGGTTGAGCATCATAGTAGATTTGAGTTGAGAATTCTTATACATATTACTCTTGATAGCTGCAACTCTCTAGACGGTTAGGCATCTACTCGCGTAGCGAAGAGTAATTGTCATCATCGAGTCAAAGTCTTCAGCAACCAAGAGTCATTGTGGTTGGTGAAGCAAGTTTGTTGATGGTTTGGAGATCGCCGAGAAGAATCTACCACGAGTAAAATTAACTGAAGTTTGATCAACTTTGCGTTGAGGAGAATAGGGCGGTGAGAGGTTAGCTCTTGTGTTCATTCACAAGTCCCTCCAACTAGACGTAATTCTTTTGTAGAAGAGTGAACTACTACCAAATCATTTGTCGCCATCAAGCACCATTGGTTACTTCTCTGTTCACATTCATCTTGTGCAATTCTTTCTCGACGAAGTAGTGTTTCCTGTGTTGTTCTTCAGTTTAATTTTGCCTCATTATCCTTGGAGCAAATTTATCTGGTCTATGACCATGTTATGTGGCATACTTGTGTTCTTTGTTGTCAAGGTTGTTTGTCTGTATATTCATCTGCTCATCTAGAGCTACTTAGTTATCCAACTTAGCATGTTACTCTGTATGTTTATTTTATGTGTTGTGTGTGCAATATCATATATGCTGACTATTTTGTTTTCATTCCTTGTCACCGTTATTATTCTCAAAGTTTTGTGCTACTGTACCCATAGGATTATCATCTCTTTTATTAAAAAAGTTTACCTTATGGTGTGATATTCTTCAGTAGTTTTTTGTGAGATTCAATAGTTTTTTTTCCTGCTTAGATTTATTTTCTGCTGTGCTGAACTGAGAGATTTTAAGTTTTGAAAAAATAATTAAATTTCTCATTAACCCCGACCCCTCCTCGACATACTCTCGATATAATAAATATGGTCAAACTTTATGAAATTTGACTTTAAACAAGACTTATATGCGAAGTAAAATGACCGGAGGGAGTTACATGCGTGGTGAGTTGCTAGTCCCCTCGAAGCAAGTCCACGTGGTGGCTACTCGAGTTGCTTGTGGCCTTATCGGCTGAAACATTCGTTATGCCCATGTTATATTTAGCGTATTATACTCCCTCCGTTCCTTTATACTCCCTCCGTTCCTTTATACTCCCTTCGTTTACTTTTGTAAGTCATTTCAGACAGCTCAAAATAGGCTGTTTTATACATTATCTAAAATGTTTTCAAGGTCGTATAAAAGTAAACAGAGGGAGTATTTCTTTTTCTAGAGATCTCAACAAGTGACTACATACAGAGCAAAATAAGTGAATCTATATTCTAAAATATCTATATATACATTCGTATGTGGTAGTCCATTTAAAATCTTTAAAAAATAAATATTTAGAAACGGAGGGAGTATATAACATACATATATATTTCCTCTGTTAAGAAATATAGTTACTATATAAGAGCGTCTAGACAACTATTTTAGTGGTCCAAACGCTCTTATATATTTTTAAAATTCTGGCCAGAAATGTGCATCTTTTAAATTCCGCCCTGAAATGTGTCGTAGTTTCGATATGGTGGCCGTTTGGCGTTTGCTGTGTGGCGAAATGGTCCACGATTGTGGTTGCCGTTGTTGTTGGGCTGCGCGGGCGTGGTGCAGATGGCGCGTCCCTGTCCTTGGGGTCCAGCCGGTTAATTAACCAGTGATCCTTTCGTTTTTATAAGTACATCAGAAGAGTGATTAGTTCGTTTGGGTCACCACAAACACGTGGGTAAATGACTTTGTGAGTAGTACCACGTAGTACTATGTTATTCCCCGGAGTCGTTCATCCACCTTTGTTTGAAAAGCAACCCACCAGGCCCTGACCGCATCTACCCGTTCACTCCCAGGTTGTTTCCCTGACCATTCCATTCCCAAGAAACGTTCGTGCGTGCGTGCGTGTGCGTTGGAGACGAGGCACGCCACGGGGACGTGCAACAAACTACCAGAACAAAAGGCTACAATGAAAGGCAAGCCCAAGAGCAAGGACGAACGTGCCCCCGCCACCTACCCGCTTAGTTTCATCACAGCACGTCAACGTAGCCACAAATTCCTTGCAACTTCCGTTTGAGCCCGACAAGTTGCTTCGGCACGACACGGGCAACGACATGAGTTCATATTGTATCTCACAGGGTATATTCCACTGCGTATTAACTTAACTGGCTCAAATGGCACGATTTTACATGTATTATGACAAGAAACATGAGGAACAAAACTAATTACCCCAGCTGCCAACGAGGGAGGAGCGGGCCGACGACATGACCACAAATTAACCGACTCCCCTACTGCTCCTCGATACCTCTAGGGAGCTACGAGTCGGACGATGTGACGGTGGAGGAGGAGCCGGCGGTCATCGGGGTCATGTCCATCGGGTAGCTCCCGAGCACCCGCAGGAACGACGTGAACTCCTGGACCTCGGCCAGCGCGTTCTGCGCCCGCGGCTCCGCCAGGGACGCCTGGAAGTCGACGTAGAACATGTACTCGAAATGCTTCGCCGTGCCGCGGTTGGCGTCGTCCACCAGGCGGATGGGGCGGTGGCGGTGCGGCCGGCTCTCGATCTTGGTCAGCGTGATGTCGCGGAAGGCGAAGGCGGAGAGCACCTTGAAGAGCACGGAGGTGCCCTCCTTGTCGTGCGCGAACACGATGCTGGTCTTGAACGGCCGGTCCGTGCGCGGCACGATGGGCTCCCTGGCCAGCATCACGAACCGGGTCACGTTGCCGCAGTCGTCCTGGATGCCGTCGGCGAGGATCTCCATGCCGTACAGCTCGGCGGCGCGGGACGACGCGATGGCGGCCGTGTCGCGGAGGCCGTTGTTGGCCACGTACTCGGCGGCGCCGGCGGTGTCGTCGAAGGCCTCGCGGACGACGTTGAGGCCCATGCGGGTGATGGTGTGCTCGCACTGCGCCAGCGCCTGCGGGTGGCTGATCACGCGGGTGATGTTCTCCTTGCGAACGCCCGGGAGAGCGAGGAGGCAGTGGTGCACGGGGAGCTGCACCTCGCCCACGATGTGGAGCCGGTGGCGGAGCAACAGGTCGTAGTTGCGGTGGATGCTGCCGCCGAGCGAGTTCTCCACGGGGAGCACGGCCCGGTCCGCGATCCACAGCTCCACGGCCTGGAACGCCACCTCGAACTGGTCGCAGGGGATGGCGTCGCAGCCCGGGTAGGCCTTGCCGGCCGCCTTCTCGCTGTACGCGCCGGGCACGCCCTGGTACGCCACGCGCAGCTCCGAGCCGTGCATCGGCGCCGGGGACAGGTCGGCGATCCGCAGCGGCGCCGGCAGGTTCTTGGCAACGCCGTTAACACCGCTCACAGGGATCAAGTCAAGCACCGACCCGTTGGGGGCCGGCGCCGGCGCGGCGTGGCCGTTGACGGAGTGGGGGCCGAGCGCGGCAACCTTGCTGGAGAGGACGGCACAGTTGCTGAGCCACTCGGTCCGGCCGCCGACGGCCGCGCCAAGCGAGCACCTGACCACGCGGGCGCCCCTCCCCGGAGCGTGGATTGCGAGCCTGGGATTCTGCCCGGCGGGCGCCTTGATGAAACTCGCGGCGGCCATGACCAGTAACGGCGCCGATTAGCTAGCTGTTGGTCCGTTTCTTGGCTTGGAAATCTGTCGATGCCGATGGCGCCGGGTAACTAAAGGTAAATAAACGAGAAACTAAAACTGGTAGGTAGGTAGTCGAGTAAGCTTCGATGGGGGAAGCTGAGGGTGGAAGGGGAGGGCGGAAGGGGATATATAGGTGGCGATTGGTTGGTTTGTGTTGAGGACCTGAGCTGTGTATCGGGGTTGGTGTGGTGGCCTGGTGGGGACGCGTGGGCTCACGACTCAGGACTGATACCACGGGGGGGTTGGTTGGGTCAGCGTCAAATCAAAATGTGTATCTTTTCGGGTAAAAAAGATCGAAACGTCTTGGCCTGCTTCACCAACCAACTGAGCCTCCCCGAGGGGTAGAAGAAAGAAAACTGAAGGAGAACGTGCGTGCTGTGCATCCCCCCTCCCCCCTTGTGGTCGCGTGCGCCGGCTGCTTGTAGCCGCGCCCGCCTGCCTCCCCTTTTCGCCGTCCTTTCTTTGATCGCCCGGCGAATCACGGCGCCAGGTGCGTGCCAAGTACAGTGAAGACTGCTCCGCGCTGGATCGGATGCTTATCTAGATTGCCTTGTATTTTTCTCTTGGGATGAGGCAGATATTTTTCTTTATTGATTTCGGACGATGAATCCCTCCAACAAAATATGGCGAGGGGTAATAATTCATGCACATTATGTTATCCATATAGATATAGATATAGATACTGATTTACTTTCTGTAAATTAGCGCATGATTTTTTCCCATACAATCTCTATTTCTAATGAAGCAGTTGTTAGCCTGGTATGGTTTATTTTCGTCCGGTTTTACTTCGTCTCACCTTCCACCACCCCCTCCCACTAGTTTTTCTCCCTCCCATTAAAAAACCAAATCCCATTAAGGGGAGATCTTGTTTCGTTCTCCCTTTGGTAGGTGCCGATTCAATTCAATCATGTAAATAATAAGTAATTAAGACTTTGGAAGTTGCACCATATGTGTGAGATCACCTTTCTAAAAGACAGACATAAAAGTTTTCTTGATAATCTTCCATAATAAAATAAGATATTCCCTCATAACAAATCACTAATCTCTATTAATAATGGAGCAGTTGGTAGCGTGGTACGATTTATTTTCGTCCAGTTTTACTTCGTCCCACCTCTCACCACCCTCTCCCTATGGTTTTTCTCCCTCCCATTAAAAAACCAAATCTCATTAAGGAGAGATCTTGTTTCGTTCTTTCTTTGGTAGGTGCCGATCCAATTCAACCATGTAAATGATAAGTAATTAAGAATTCAAAAATTGCACCATATATGTGAGATCACCTTCCTAAAAGACAAACATAAATTTTTTCTTGATAATCTTTCATAATAAAATAAGATATCCCTTCATAACAAATCACTAATCTCTACTCCTAATGGAGCAGTTGATAGTCTGATACAGTTTATTTTCGTCCGGTTTTACTTCGTCCCACCTCCCACCACCCCCTCCCACTGGTTTTTTCTTCCTCCCATTAAAAAACCAAATCCCACTAAGGGGAGATCTTGTTTCGTTCTTCCTTTGATAGGTGTCGATTCAATTCAATCATGTAAATAATA